TATATATATATATATTTATTTATTTATTTATATTTATATTCATATGTAGATACATGAATATACGCAATAAGAAAGTGATAACGATTGACCAATTTAATTCGACTAAAGTTCTTGACAGTTTTCTATGCAGCTGTTACTGTTATTTTAAAATCTGAAAATGACAGCTTAATGTTATCGCTTTCCAATACAAGATTTCAGTATTGAATTACTGCAGGAAAAAAACACTGAGAGATTTGAGATGGAAAACGAAGAAAACAGAAAGGTGAAAAGTACAGTGCACCAAAACTTTCGATATTTTCCGTTCCCCTTGTCTACTAATCAACTTTCCTCTTCCTTTTTTTCTCGTCAATTTTCAAAATTATCCCTTCAAAGGTGAATTTTGTCATAGAAAAACATAATTTTCGCGCCGTATAACTTTGAAAACAGAAACAAAATTTATTTTTACTTTACCGTTTGTTGTGTATTGGTTTCTCTTCCATTCAAATCAAACAGTTTATTTCAATGACATTAATATATTCGATTCATAAACCACACAACAGATTTAAGCCTAATACGATAGGTGGAAGAAAAAAAATATGATAAAAAAGGTAACAAATTCAAACAATAATAATAACAACAATAACAAGGACAAAAAAAAATGTAAAATTGTAATAACAGTCATCAAAAAGTACAGCAAAAATGAATGTTTCACCGATCACCCCATCTACGTTCACTTCTCCTCCCACTTTTCCCCCTCTTTTGCATTGTACACTGCATTTTCTGCATACACATTTTTGAAACCGAAAAAAACTATGCGAACAGCACCAACAAAGGCTACTATTTACCCACTACCTAAGGTAACATCGACTTACAAGTGCATCTGATAATATTCGGATGCCAATAATGCAAATTGGTCATACTGTCGATGACTTTCAATGATTATGATGGTGAAAGTTCTGTTCGCTAATCAGACAGCAAATAATGCTAACCCGGTCTCAGTATCAACATTAGAGGACGGTTGACTAAAATTGTCATCAGTTATACCATTGCTTGTGCTGAAAAAACTTTTTACAATGTTCTGAACAATTAACAGACTGTTTAAGGTCAAATTTTTATGGTCGCATAAATAGTGGTACTTCTGACCACTGGAGCAGCTGATATTTGCAACCTGTTCAAAAAATATTCTTCCATTTCCGTTCAATAACGATACCGTTATAATGCTTGACAGGTATATCTTTGGTTTCCAATTTGGTAGCATATATTCATAAAAAACAGAAGAAAAAGGCAGCAACGACAACAGCAACGAAATACCCTTAATTTCGTCGTCAACTGTATCAAACTGAGTTGTTATTTGCTAGTTCAAAGATATATTTCTAAAAGTACTAAAAACACATTTCTCTGCTGCCTAAAGAGATAATAACGAAAAAGTTTTATTGGCCATGTAAACAGGAAATTACAGTCAGGTTCAACAGGTATAATGTCAAATAAATAAAAAAAAAACAATGCTGATGAAATAAATACATATAAAAGTTGTTTTTTCCCACTGACTGATACTTATTCAATCTTATTCAAACGAAAACAAAATGTTGTTGCTGTCTAAAAACTGTATTTGGAAAAAGAAACTGCATTCAATATCATAATTGAAATCAGTTTTTTGCAACAGATCTGCTTAATCTTCATTCACAACGCTGCTAAACTTTTCAGTTCTTTGTGAACACAGCTCTCGTCGACATAATTTCTTCCATTTAACGGGACTATTAACGTCGAGTAAGACGTACCATGGCGGATACTGTCTGTCGTTCAGCCATTACCAACAGAGTTTGTAGGGTTTGTACAGCCAGTAACTGTATGAATAATTTCTCGCCCTTAAATTGGGTCCACTGAGAGCAAATTCCATAACCGTGTGTCCTATCTCTTCTTTTTTAGCACAAAGCCAGAAACACAAAAAGAAAAAACGTTACTTGTAACTTGTTGAAATGCTGAAACGCTTTTTGGAAAACTCGGATGCCGTAATATTACAGAATCACTAAGATCTTCTCACTTTTTTTAAAGAACACTTAAGAGGTAGTAAGAGCACATTTTTTACCTCCAGTATTCTGTGCGGTCACTGAATCCCATATATAAGGAATAGCGCTAAAGAAGGAAAAATTGTCCGTGTTGAATTTTTAAAAGATCAAAACTTAGCCTTTTTCAACTTCCTAAAATAGATAATACTCCGAAATAACAAAGTTACTATAAATGGATGACTTGAAAAACAAAAAAAAAAAAACAATGTTAGTTTAAGATCGGTTCCACTTGCGCCGCTAGTTCATTCTTGCTGACAGCATCAAAATCGTTCCCTGTTGCTTACTTTTTTTTTCACTTTAACAACATTGGTAGACGATAAGAAACTGAAAAAAAGAAAAAAAAAACAGCTGCACACTTTTCAATCTATACTCTGCTAACAAAATACACCGTTTAGAACATAGATATCCAATCGAATGTACAAGACTTCAATCACACATTACCACCTTCTACCTGTACTTGAGGATTAAGTCTAACTGCATTCATTACACTTAGACTGTTACAGACACACGCTATTCAACCCCTTCTGATACCGCTGAAAGGCTCGTCACAAACTGAGAGACCACATAGGCTTACCAACAGATACAATGATCATGTCAAAAGCAATTATGACAATGCACAAACATTTCAAAAAAGCAAATCCAGCGAAATTCAGAACCCTAAAGCACTTCTACACATCTCCTGCAGATCTAGCTCTCAGAAAAAAACACTTAGGAAGAACAAAATAAAACCACTGATTGCTTAAAAACTACTGCCTACGCCCCAAAATAACTACACTCTTATCACAGTAATCAAGCCTAGGACTAAAACCATAGAATTAATCCTTCACATCAATTTGTAAGAGACTGTTCAAAATTCATTAAAGTGATCAAAGAAAAAAAAAATTCCCTAAAAATTTGCTTTTACTGCATTACTTAAGTCATTACCTACAACTTTATAGTGCAAATCAAGCAAAACCTGCTTTCTTTATTCTTCTTTTTCAAATATACTACCTTGAACCTCTCAAAGAAAGAAACATTTTCATAAAAACATTTGAAAAAAAAAATACACGAAGTACAGTGGTTTCTTATCTGCGAAATTACATTCAGTGAAAACGAGTGTTCATTTAGTATAGTATAGTATAACAAAATTCCACTAGCAACATGCCTAACAGTGGAACAATTCTAGTCATAATGAACAGAACTATTTCAAAACTTATTGTATAGATGTAGACCAGCAGAAACTTATCAACACGAACTTGCACTCTAAGAACTATTAACCCGTAAAATAAAAGCACAATGAAAATGAAACACCTAAACAGTTTGAATAGGAGGAAACTTAAGAACCATAAGAAACAACACAGCTGATATACCCCATTCGAAGTTTATAAATAAAAAGCGAAAACAATGGTGATACAATATGCTCTTGGAACTTTTCACTGTATAACTAAAAGTGCATAGTGATTTAAAAATACAGACATTCTTAAAGACAACCCGCATTTCAAAATGTTTTACAGACGAAGAAAGCACTAAAAAAATCCCAAAAAAACCTCTTTAAATCTAACAGATTTTTGTTATTATTACTAAAATACCGTTTAAGAGAACAGCACTGGAATTAATGCCATGAGCAAACAAACGATCAAAGACTACCGGCAACTTTCAGACGATAAATACAGAGTTGGAATTTAAAATCTATACAATATTTGCGTAAATTAAAGTTTTTAAACCTGCTATAACAACCGTACTTGTATCTCATTTCCCAATTTATACAGTTCACAAACAATCGCAAACCGAGAGCTAACCCGTAAGCTTAATATAAGCTTTAATTATTCGCGATGCAGGACTACAACCTGCTCAGTTACTAACTACACTTCGGCGACATGTAAACAGTCGAGACAAGATGTCGCCTTAAAAAATTACTTAATTTTTCTATAAAAACTTCTGTCGCAGCCACGTTCGAAATAAGAGGCCAAAGCGTTGACTTCACTTCATCGTCGGTCGAAAACCTACAATAAAAATTTTCAAAAGGAAATTTCTACCCACCTGAAGGCGTTAAAACATGCCTTAGAGCAGAAAAGACTAGAAAAGAAAAAATTTTTGTGAATCTTTAGCAGTCTATAAAAGGCTCTGGAAAGAGAACGACTTTGTGATTCAAAATTTAAAAATATTACTACCGGAGCAGTTGAAAGAAGAAAGCATCTTCAAAACGCCCGCATTCCCCAATACCAGTGAACAATAAAGGAGATAGAAATTCCTCTATCCTGCCTTTTAACATAAAATATATTGCAGGACCATTTTCAGCAAGCAGCATATCAGTCATTGATGTGCATAAATAACGATCGGCTAGCTGCAATAAAAGTTCAGGGCAATGAAAATCAAAAAAGACACGTAATGCTTCAATCGTTGCATTACATTTGGAAAAATACAAAAATGCAACCGGAAGAATTTGGAATGTAAAACATAAAGCAAGATTCCCAAGTCAGAACAGCTAAATAAGCTAGAGTCTCGTAGCAGGATCAAATATATAAGTTATCAGACGCACCCTAATCATGACGACCACAGGATGAGCACTGTCCAATCTAAAACACTTTTCAGATCTGCAACCGCACAAATAATGAAGAAACTGTTTGAATTCCG